TCGTCCCCCCCAGCCAGTCACAGGCCCCTCTCCACCCACCCGCAATCCCCAGGCAGAAAGCCCACGGTGCCAAGGATGCAGCCAGGGTGCACCTCAGCACTCCCTACAACCAGCTGGTAGGAGGATGTAGTCGGGGGGGGGTTGCTCCCTTCTCCCAAGTGACCAGCGACAGGACAAGGGGAAGTGGCCTCCACCTGCACCAGGGGAGGGTTAGCTTGGATAAAAGGAACAGCATCTTTACTGAAATAGCTGCCAGGCACTGGAACTCCAGGGAAGAGGTGGAGTCACCATTCCTGGAGGTATCTGAAAGACATAAAGATGTGGTGGTGCTGGGGGACATGGTTTAGGGATGGACTTGGCAGTGCTGGGTTAAGGGTGGGACTTTGTGCTCTCCAAGGTCTTTTCCAAACAAAACAAGCCCATGATTCTGTGAGAAGTAGTGGCACTGCCCAGACAATCACAGGCCACGAGAGCCATTCCCAGGCTGGCCTTGGAGCTAGGCAATGGGATATAAAGCCCACAGAAGGATGCTGCTGAACACCAAGGGAGACTGTGACTGCACCCCTTGTGCGTGAACATTGTGAGGCAGAGGTGGGGCAGGAACTGGGGCTTCACAGAAACAGGATTTGACAGACTGGAAGAGTTTTTAGTCCCCCTCAGACCAGGTTATTGGGAAGCACAAATGCAGAGGGGAACTTTCTTCTACACGTTGAGGGGTTGGAAAACCTGTGTGGAGGTAACATCCTGTTTCCTCTCGCCCCTCTTTCCTGAGATCACAAGGACACCATAAGGCAGAGCTCAAAACTGCTCCAGGGCAGGGGAGGGATCCCACACGGAGGTGACAGGAATGCAGGGAGGTGACAAACACGGGCAGGGATGGAGAGAGCAATATAGTGCCAACAGCCTCCTGGTCAGAGCCGGTAAGAGCTGAGGGTGACGAGAGCGGAATAAAAGAAATAGAAGACAAACAATTTAACAACATCGAACTCCACTCAAAACTTTCTTGACAGGACATAGTGCAAATAGGAAAAATATTGGTCATGCTTTATAAAAGACAGGGGCTAACCTTTCAGGCTGCTTGGTGCAGGGGAAGGAAAATGTGAGGAGAGCTCAAGTCTCTGCATCCCAAGCACTCCAGGCAACCTACTCATCCTCTGTGGAGGAAAGGGTCCCCTGTAGTGCTCTGTGGGAAATGACAAATTATCCCACCTTTACAGTAGCTAAAAACCAGCCCTCTCCACTCAAGCTGCACAACCGCCCTAACTCAAATTCAGGAAGAAATACCAGGAAGTTTGCTTGGAGCACCACTTCAGGAATTGGTGCACAAATGAATCTTCAAGTATACAGCACTGTATGGCATCCAAGGGCTGGAGAGCCTGCACTGGGCTGCCACAGGCTGCGAGCAGGTCACCTCTGAAGGGAGATGTGACATTTAAGTTACTCGGCTGCTCCTGCACCCTCTTCTGTGACCCCTGGACAGCGCTGCAGATGTTTGTCTGGGAGACAAAACGCCATCTTCAGGCAGCTCTGAACAAGGACAAGGTGAGAGCGGCAGCATCACTAGGTTTTGGCCTCTCACTTATCCTCCAGAGCACGTTGGTCCTCTTTGTAACAGCAAGATCTGAGCAGGTCTTTGGCAACTCGTGATCAGTGGAAGGTGTGGGGATGGAGACGGTGCAGGGGAAAGGGCAGAATCCTGCTGTGGATCTCTGTTACGATATTGTCACAACAGCACCAGTGGGTTTCCATGTGCAGTGAGACACGTTAAAGCTCATCCTTGGCATTAACGAGATGCTGCAGCGGACGAAGTGGTATCACGTGGTCCCTTAGCAGCTGGTCCTGTGACCCTGTGTAGCTGTCAAGGGGTCTGTCTCCTAGGTCTGTGAGAGTGTCATCCTGCAGCAGGCCAGCTTCTGCTGCGTGGCGCCGGAGCCTCTTGCTGCCCAGGAGCCCCTGCATCCTCATATAGCCCTGCTGACAGCAGGGAGGCAGCTTCTGACGGGTGAGGGCAAACAGGAAACAGGACTCTGTAGGGGAAAGGATCAAAAATCAGACTCGGCAGAGATTCCCTGTAGAAAATAACTCCCATAAACTCTTGAGGACTCATTCAGAAGAAAAGGCAGAGAAGAGGGAAGATGACTGGAGTTCTCTGGCATCTTCTCCATAACACAGGATTGCTTTCACCTGCAGCACATGAGCTTCCCAAACCAGTCTTCAGACTAGGAAGAAAAGCAGCAGATGTTTTCCAGCTCTTCCGCTTCCCATGGGAAAGCAATCCCATCATCAGGACATGAAAAGTGATCTGGTACCCAGTGGCACAAAAGAATGTTCAGATAACGGAGGAGGAAGGAAAACTGCAGGTAGAAAAGGGATTTAGCCCAACCTCATTCACCTTTCCCTAAATCTGGGTGTGTCCAGGGCAGGCTCACTCTGGTGGTGAGCAAGAGCAAAGACTATTTGGGGACATACAAACAGCACCAGCATGTCTTACTGCCTGGGGAGTGCATCAAAGGTGTTACTGATGGTGACACCACCAGCTCCACATGGGGGGATCTCAGCTATTTGCAGAAGAGATCACTCCTGTCATGTGCCCCTTGCATTCCTCCTCCTGCCACCTCGATCGACCCTGTGCTCACGTTACCTGCAAAGAAATTGCGCAGGTCAGTGCCGAGGCAATTCTCCAGGAACCGCCTCAGCGGCAGGATGTGAGCATTGGGGGCTGTCCAGTCTGTCAGGAAGTCCTCCACAATGTGATGGATGGCATCTGGGCGGGGCAGAGGCCAGTCTGGGGGCCGAAGCCTCATCTCACGCTCTGCCAAGAGAACATTAAGGGAATCCCTCAGAATCAAAACGACATTAAAAAGAGCTTCTGGAGTGGAAAGCAGCTATGACAGCTGTTCCGGCTTTTGTCCTGACCTTTTTAATCCCTACCTTACTTTCACTGCAATCCCCTTCTGCTAGCTCTGTCCTCAACAGCCCTGCCATGGCACAGCTGCCCCTTATCCCTGCCCACAGTGCTTCCTGTCATTTCACTCCTGTTCCCCTCCTTGGGCAGGGACTGTCAGACCAGCTGAGCTGCGTTTGAGCTTTGCTGCTGCTACCCATCAGGCTTCTTCCCATGCAAGACAGGCCAGACTCTAACCCTAGGCTTCTGGAGGTGAAGGTTCAGCACATCCATTTCCTAAGGAAATGTATTCTCAACAAGCTTGTTTGCTGGCTCTAACAATCACCTTCAAACCCTTCCCTTTGGCTGCCTCCACCGCTGAGCGACCTTTCGGGCCTGAGCTGGCCACAGAGAGCAGCTTTCTTTTGGTGGTGACACTGAGCCCAGTCTCATCTGCTGGGACTCTGCAAGAGTACATGGAGGGTGCCAGCCAAAGGGAAGCAGCGTTCCTCTTTTTGCGAACAGAGCAGTTCCCAGCACATCTGTTTGTTCCTATTCTCAAATATTACCTCTCCAGTACAATCTCTCCAACCCCACACCTCGTATCAGTCGCCACTGATGGAAACTTCTTGCCAACTCCCAGCTTTTACTTGAGGTCACACAGTAGTGGTGAGTGTCCCAGAGGATGGATATGAAGAAAGTGGAAAAGAAGGGTGTGCAATGTCTTCAGGTACTGCCCCCCTCCCTCCCCAATTTCTTTGGCTCTGAAGTATCTTCATCCCTCTTTGTTTCACTTGTATAAGAAAATTAGCAGGGAGAGGCAGGGGAGTTTACCTGTTGGGAGACGTTTGTAATAGTATATAACAGGGTGCAAAAAGTTGGACTGCCAGGCATGCTGTGCCTCTCCCACGGCTCGGTTGTAGTAGAAGACATCTTTGTCAGCTCCAGAGAAATTCCTCCCATACTCCATGATGATGACAAACAGCCCATTGGGAGCCTTTCTTCCTGTCTGCATTTCCAGCTCGGCCAGGACTCCAACTGGGTACTCTTCTAGATATTCAAACGCTGTGGCATTCCT